TGTCATTTACTTATTAGTAGTCTTTCCTTTTTAGATCATGTAATTTGTTGGATTGATTCTCGCATACATTTTTAAACTATTCAACAAGAGTGAAAACAGCTTTGCATTTAGATACAAAGCTACTCTGTTACATGTTAATACAATATATATTCATTTGAAAGTCTAACAGTGGTGCCTTGATTGTACATGTATGCAGATGTTACACCATTTTAACCGGACTGTAAGGCTAGTCTTAATATATGTTGACTAGGTTCTGTATATTTTAAAAGTCTCTGACGGTTAGCATGGAGACTGCTCAAAGTGAGCACATTGTAAAGCTATTTGAAAACATCTTACAATTTCAGTGTTATCCAAGCATTCTCATTCTTAGTACAATGCTTGGATAACACACATCACAACACAAAATGTCTCTCTGAAGGTGTTAGGTTAATTGATCATTTGTTCCAAAGGATCTTGTTACACATGTAAAATTTTTGTGCTGTATCCAGTGGCTGGCTTGACAAAAATAATCTGTACTGATCGATACAGAGAAGACAGTTTTTGATGTTAAATACTTGGGTCAAACAGCAGCAGGAACATACACAAATAAAGAAAGTGGTTCTAAATGAGGTACAGAGTTTTTGTTAAAAAAAGAGTAAAAACATAAGTAAAACCTTAATACCTAATATATTATCTCAGTGCATGATCAGTTCAAACCCAATTACTATACGACAGTGTAATGTTTATTCTTCTCACATAATTGTGCAAGTTTAATAATTTTTTTCTTTACTTTTTGTTATATAATCTTTTTTTAACAATGTAAGAGGCAACTGGGGCGATATTTACTGGAATTAATGTTTTTTTCATAATGATGTCATCAACAATGGCTTACACATTTCCATCAGTCACATCTCATCTGAGGTAGTAAAAAGAGCAAATGATGAATGCACAAGTTAATCCCTGCCTCTGCAGCACAGCAGATGTTTTCCTCTTGACCTGCACAAAAGGCTTCTGTTTTTTGTTAGCAGACTTGTCCATTCCTTTAGGGTCACAGGTCATTTTGGTCTTGGGGTGAAAGCTGTCACTGCTAGTCAAAAGATCTGACGGCCAGCAGAGTGTAACGACAACACCATTCCTCAGAAAACTCAATAGATGACCATTATAAGTAAAGTCCTACTTTCCATATGCTGATGCAGTCAAGACCACAGTCAGTCTAACAGCCTGAGATTGAATTTCTGTGGTTGCTGGGGACGCCTGGGGGGAAAAGCTGACCTAATATTAGCCATTTAAAGGTTAGCTTAAATAGTTTAAATGTTAACTGGATCAATATCTGTGTCATTCATGCCTAGAAATGCTGGATAGCATGAATTTTAACATCATAAGAGAAGCCTGGCAAAGTGACAGCTTGTCATTTTTATAAATATGCTAAAGTAATCCCATACTAGATCATAGATCATACTAAATTTTATCAAAAGATCTTTAAAAAAGGTGTATAACATGTCTTTACATCTAAGTTTCTCCACAAAAAGGGGAGTTAAGAATAGGAAAGCATGGAGTTTGTTCTAAGGCTGTGATTTGGAATTTATTCTTCAGTCAAGGCATCCCTAATCTGAAAAACTTTTAAAATTCTCTTTATTTTTGAGGGTTCATCAAACACCATTTATTTTAAAAAAAATAGAGCTGTATGATTCATGTATTGAATCATACAGCTCTATTTTTCTGCACATTTTGAATATGATTTTGAATAAGATCAAATGTATGATGTAAGAAATAATAAACCATTTTATTAGAAAGCATTAGTTAGGAGTAATCTTTCATGTTCAGGTTTTCTGTTGTGCTTCCTGACTACCCCTGGCAATAGAGCCAGCTAAAAACAAAAGCCCAGATTCAAACTAATTAGACTTTTATACATGTTCTACTCATATACAAGTTCAAATGTTTTTTGGTTTTCGCACTACAGGTAGCAGAGTCTGTTTTCTTTAAAGTCTGTGAACTGTATGTTTATTTTAATTTAATACTTTTTAAGATTAGCTTTATATTAGTATATATTGATGTAATATTGCATCAGTCATATTAGCAGATTGACACATTTTTTGCAACCCTTCGTTTCACCATTTCTCAGACGGAGCAACAGAATTCCTCGATGTTATTTCAAAGGTCTAATTCGATCTCCCTTACCCACTCTCACACACAAAAGAATGTGATGACAGGCACATGCAGCATCTGTCTTTGTATCAGAAATCATTTTTGTCATACTTTTTTGTTCCCTTTGATAAAAAAGAACTGGAAGAACAATTCTATAATTCTGTACATAAAATAAGGTGAGAATGGTCAAAAACAACCCACAGACCACCTCCATGACCTACAAGATCATCCTGCCACAGGTGGTGTCAATGTGTATCTTTCAACAATATAGCGTACTTTACATGGAAAAGCTGTATAGGGGAGTGATCCGGGAGAAACATTTATGAGCACACGCCACAGAGTTGCTTGAGGTATGAAAAAGCACTTTAGGACAAGCCAGGTTAAATTTGGAATAAGGTGCTTTGGACAGATGAAACAAGGATTGAGTCATTTAAGCAAAGCAAGCTCCACTAACCATAGGGGCAGAGCGACATGGCATTCCATACAAAAACAATTACTACCTCTAGTAAAATTGGATGGTGCTTCCATTGTGCTGTTTCGCTAGTGCTGGTAAGGGGAATCTTATTAAAGTTAAAGATTGCATGGATTTCTCTTTATATTAGCCAATCCTAGTGACTATTGTTCAAGAATCTGTCACAGATTTGAAGTTACACTGTGTCTGGATGTTTCAATAACACGATAACCCAAAACACATTCATTCATCTCAGGCATTCGTGCAGTAAATATCTTTTGTTCTTTTTAAGAAATAATGGCATGGTTTAATATGCTATTTGCATTTTTTCATGTAAAGTTGTATTACATAAATCAGAACCAGATGTTTTTAACTACTGTATGTTGTATTATATGAGGCTTTAGAGTTAAGGACAGATGAAACTGTAACATTACTTATAAAAAGGATATTGATTATCAGAATCAGGTTTATTGACCAAGTATTGTTACATACAATGAAGTTGATGTGGTTGTGATGCAGAACATGCGCCATATACATAGAATTAAGAAAAACATAAAATATTAAGAATTCAGTATGAAGAGTAGTAGCATTGATAAATATATTTGTAACCATAGACTGCTCTTAACTGACAAAACAGCAAGTATGTGAATGTATTGCAATTGTAAAAATTATGCGCAAATGAATATTTTTACAGTGCAGTCAGAAGTACACATCAGGTGGGAGAGCATTAGGGCACATTATAAATTAATTTAATGTGTAGTCGGGTGGTGCACAGCTGAGTTATCTAGTAGCTAAAAAAATAACTGAGAAAGAACAGAAAAGTAGAAATTTAATTAAACTGACATAAATCATATGGCACTTCCATGTAAAAGGATCACTTGGATGTCATTCTCCATCGGTGCTGTTTTTCACATTACTGTCATATGTTTAATGTGAAACTGTTTCATGGTAATATAAAGAATAAAAATGTAATATTTGATTCGTACAAAAATGATATATCATCTCCCATGATTTTATTTTCAGTTACCTTATAAAGGTAACTTTTTTTTATTTATCTTATAAATAAATAAAGTGACAAGTGTTACAGATAATTTACTGTTGTCCAAATAAGAAAATATTGATTAACAGCCCTGTTGGAAATCCCATCTACTGACACAGAAATGCAGAGTCCTTTACAAGCACCCTTTATTTGACAAGCCTAATCTTTCTCAACACAAGAAGTGACAATAAGCACACACAGAGGTGTAATTAAAAGGACTTTCCTCCAAATTAACACACACACTCTCGCACACAACTCTCTCATGACCCATTAGACATACAATGGCAGGGACAATGCTTCTCTGTCAAACGCATACTCATTGTGCTCTCCAGGGGGTAAAGCTGGGTTTAGAGGGAGGCAAGTTGTAAAAACATCTGTGTGTGAGATAGAGGGGGAGGAGGGGTGTTCTTTCAAAATGCAAGTGCTCACTAGATTAGACCACCAGTTGAATATAGTGAATCCACATCTGCATTCCCCCAGCCAGCCCAAAGAGCCGTACATTTCTAAGCAGATCCATCAACCACCACCCCCCAAACCCCTCATTTGACTTAACCCTGGGAAAAAATTACAATGACCTCCACAAAGTGCTGAAACATAGTGTATTTGAAAAATGAGAGAAGACTACATTAGGGTAACCTTCATGTCTTTATTTTCCACCACACTGAAATTATATAAAGCAGTGTGTTTTTATGTTTTTGCAAAGGGAATAAATCACTACATTGTAAAACAGAGTTCAGAACCTTGCTGCTCTCCTTGCTTTCCTAATTAGGTTGTTAGTTACTGTATAAACATATTTGGACACACCATTCAATTGCTTTCTAAAAGACAAAGGCTAGAGAGGAGATCAGTTTGTGACTGTCTCTTGTGGGACTAGTGGGTAATGTGGTATTGTCTGGGTGTTTTTTCAGGCCTTAGGGTCATGCTCCTTGCATCTCTGAGGACAGACATCCTCCACATTCTTCATCTGAGTGCATGTTTGCGTGCATGCGGCTCCACACAGCCCACTCTCTTTGCTCTTTGACTCCAATGGCCATATAAGGGAGCCAGCACCATGGTAACCACAGGGCTTGAATAGCAGTGTCAAATCCCTGGGAGCACACACACAAACATTGACTGCCCCCTCCCCCTCCGCATACACTCCTACTCCCTCCCTCCCACTCTCTCTGTCTGTCTCTCCCTCTTTGCTAAATTTCTCACTCTCAAAACTGACTTGCACACAGTCACAGGGTGAAAAAACACTTGTGAAGAAAGAAAGGGGGGGGGGCGTTGATATTAAAAACTAGCATATAAATTAAGTGTTAGTAAGGCTCATGCATACTCTTAATTCATCATCTGATTTGTGGTGAGAGGAGCACCCATCTCTTCCACCCCCTCCTCCCCTCTGCCTTGGCTGCAGGGGAGGCTTCTCACAGTAAGAGACGAAAAGCAGCATGCAGGGCTAGGCCGCAAGTCATTAGTTCTTGGTGGGCAAGCACTGACAAAAGACTGAGGAGAATAAGCCTGCCTGGATGCCCAGAGAGCATCCGCAAGAACCATAACTGAGCACACGGACGCTCTCATTCTCCGTTTGATTTGTCTCCCCCATCTGTGAGTCTGTTTATGTGTGTGTGAGAGAGAGAGAGAAATGGAGAGAGAGGGAGAGAGAGAGGGGAAGGAAACAGCACTGAGGATACTGTCACTGTCGTCCTACAACAGTCAGGGAAGCGGGAGCACTTCCTAGTGTTCGGGATCCACTTGTGTGTTCTGGAGTGGGAGAGGAGCAGTCTGCGTCGCTTTCGTTCACCGACGCTACATTTGCAGCTGGCATAGCTGCGAAAAATCAGCAATAACATAAAAACTCGTTTCGATCAAGCTGGAATATCTTCACGGTGTGCCACAATGGTGCTGCTGAGCGGATTACTGCAGTATAGTAGAGCTGTGCCTGTGCTCAGCTTCCGTGGATAGAGGGCAGATTTGATGCGAGAAAGAGCACATCCAGCGAGGGAAGCTTTAAACAATTTATTATTCTTTGTTCTGAGGTAAGGTTTAGTTTTCCCCCCAAAAAAACCCCGAGACTAAAGTGTACACACGCATCGTAAAGAAGCACTGGAAAGATGACAAAAAAATCAGTTAAGAGGACCTTAGGAGGGGTGGTCAAATCCTCTCCAGGCATGTGCTAAGGCGAGCTACACCGAGGTCCTTTTTCAGCCATTACTGTTGCCACAGAGACAGAGCTTCTGAAGTGACACAGAACAACAGTCAGCGAAGATGTACGCAATTAAAGCCCCCCCTTATGCCAATTACTTGTTAATCTTTGTGATTTTACTGTCTTTTAAAAAATAATTAGCAATATATGTGACTCGTTGTCTGCTGTTAAAGGTTCACCGGCTGAAGTGTGGAACCACCGAACTGGACATCGCTCGCGCAGGCTTTCCTTTACCCATCACGAGCCGCGGTTCGGAGGACACATCTACAGGGACGCTACGAGTTATAATTAAAAGGACTGGTTTACATCGATGCAGAAGTAAAAGTTGTCTCACCGAGACTGTTTCCAGGTCACAGTTAAGTGGGAGGAGACTAGTCTGGATTTGCTTGTTTTTCCTGCCACACACTCTCTTCTTCAAGGCTAAAATCCGCTTTATCTCGTTCGCATCTGCTTATTTAGCCCGAGGGCTCTTTCCCCTTTCCTAATGTGTACTATTCTCTTTTAACTGCCAATTTACTAAAGAGAACACAAGCAAACAGAAAATACTGAAGCTCATGTGAGAGGGACGCGGGTATACGCATTCAAGACTTCGGGGTTTTTATGCTACTTTGACAGCAACCAATAATTTTGGCTGCCTGTCCCATTTTCTTCCGCGGTGGTTCGTTTACCAAGCAATGGCCATGGTTAGTGGGGGCTGGGGAGATCCCAATGGGGGCACTAACGGGTTGGGGGACAAGGGCTACCTGAGGGGGGAGGAAGAGGACGGTTCTCCCCAGGCTGGAGGCAGTGACATGGAGGCCGGGGACGAAGACAAGGCCTGCGTAGTGGACTGTGTGGTGTGCGGGGACAAATCCAGCGGGAAACACTATGGCGTGTTCACCTGCGAGGGCTGCAAGAGCTTCTTCAAGAGGAGCGTCAGACGCAATCTGAGCTACACGTGCAGGTGACAGAGGCATTGTGGGAATTGAGTGCCTTGAGTATCAAATCAAAACGATACCAGGGCGTGTGTATTTGCTCAAACTTTATTATTATTAAGAGAGGATGTGAGTGAAAACATTTAAACCTGTTTCTAGTTTCCATTGACGATTTACTGACTTGATATTTAAGTATTAGTTTGAGAGTGACATCAGTCCTCTCTGAGTTGAAGTAGGAAAGCTTTGTTTCCTAACTCAGATTCTTCTTGATACTAAATGAGACAACCATCTGTACCACAGAGGTGTGTACAAGCTCTTTTATAATGCAGTCTATATATACTGTACATGTGAAAGGAGTGTTGTCATCAGACTACAGTCACTGACATAATCCACTTTTTATTCATATGGGATTTTTTCTATTAAAATATGTCATTGCAAAAATATAATGTTTTTATTTCCTTGGTGAAGCTGGTAAAGTTGATAAAGGGATTATGTATTTCTAAGACAGAGCTGTACCTGTGATGGTAAAAGTTTGGGAAGAATTTACAAACCTGACAGCGATGACTTAAATTGAGTTTTTTTTCAATTCCTTTTTCGAGACAATAATCTGAACTCCTGGTTTTATTTATTCTGATCCCTAGGTCGAACAGAGAGTGTCAGATTGACCAGCACCACAGGAACCAGTGCCAGTACTGTCGCCTGAAGAAATGTTTCCGCGTTGGCATGCGCAAAGAAGGTATCTATCCTGTTTGTTTATTTGTTTCACGATCATTTATTGTTGTTGTTGTGTGTTGGAAAATAAAAGTAGGAAATATGAATCGGGAGTGGTGTACAGAATTAACATCAATTATGTGTTATGGTCAGCTTGTTTGAATTAAATCGGGAATAAAGCACAGAAAAATCTCAGTGTTGATGATGGCTTAAGACTCAACAAGTCACCTGAAACATTTCTTTAAAACTTTTTTATCTGGAATTTGATTTGAAATGATTGTGTTTAGATGCAGTAGTATTGAAGGACATTTGGCTGAAGGGCTGAGACACCAAAAGTATAAGCTTGTAAATGACAGGATAATAGGTGTCAGCATCGACTGTTTGAACAAAGTATTTTTATTAGTACCTTCAGTATTGATGTGGGCCTTGAAAGCAACAATCTGCATCCCTAGAAGTCTTTACATGCCAATTCTGTTAAATTGTGTTGTAAAGTGGCCTTCCCTGTTCTTACCTTTTTTCTTCCATAGTGCTGCAACATATGACTGTCTTTGGCCTATCATTTTAAGATAACCATGTGTGTCAGCTCAATGCCATGTTATAAGTGGCTTAATCTAGTTCCTGCGTAGGAGTGCCTGAAAGGGATTCTTTCTAAGACGCCTGCCTGTGCCTTAAGCCTCAGGTTGAAGCTACAAGAGCCCTCTGATTCATTCACTCGATCAGGAAGGATCCAATATGGAAATTTTAGGTTAATTGGTGAAGATGAAGTGAGGAGTCAGGGATTGCCCCTCAGACAGATAATCTACATGTAACTGAAACATCTAAATTTTCAGTCCTTCTTCATCCCTCAGTCAGTATTTTGGTTGGTCTGAACACACTGACATCCTCTCTGAGCTGCAGCCTGTCTTGTTTTATTTATTTTAATTTTTTTTTCCCATTTTGTAATCACTGAAGTGAGCATCTCAGTGCCTTTTTTTGTTTAGGTTTTTGGGTTTTGCTGAAGGACGTACTTGTGCTGCCATGGGCTTGCATATTCTTTATCTTGATTTGGATTTTGTTTTTAACATTTAGTTTACAGTCAGTTTTGTAACATTTACATTTTTGTAATAGCTTTTCTTTTGTAGTAGTCTCTTATGTGTTAAGCATGAACCTTTTTCCCCTCCCCCACATAAAAAGGTGAAGTACCATAAGCCATTTGAACGCAGTTTTAATTTTTCTTCCTCTCTGGTTTTTCTCCAAATCCCATCATTCCTCTCCTGTCCTCCCTTTCCCGCCCCATCTCCCCTTTGTTCCCCAACCAAACTACAGCAGTTCAACGCGGTCGGATCCCACCTCAGCCCAGCCTCAGCCCCTCCATCACACCCATAGGTGGCGCCAGTGGCCTTGGAGGCACAGAGTACTACAACAACAACAATGGAGGGAGTGGTGGGGGCCAGCCGGTGTCTGAGCTTATCTCTCAGCTTCTGCGAGCAGAGCCGTACCCCAGTAGTCGTTATGGACATCAGTACAACCAGCAAGCTGGCCCAGATAATGCTATGGGCATAGATAATATATGCGAATTGGCTGCCCGGTTACTCTTCAGCACAGTAGAGTGGGCTAGAAACATCCCATATTTTCCTGAGCTGCCAGTTTCAGACCAGGTTAGTGGATTTAAAAATATTTTTTCAATGTCACTTATAAGTTGGTTTTGTAGAAGTTTGTTTTTTGTCATCAGGTTCTGCTGACAAAAGCAAATAAGATGTAGTAGGGAACATAGGGAATGAGAGCACTCGGCCAAAAATACTTCCATATTCACAGGTAGCCCTTCTGAGGTTGAGCTGGAGTGAGCTTTTCATCCTCAATGCGGCCCAGTCAGCCCTGCCACTCCACATGGCTCCCTTGTTGGCTGCGGCAGGCTTCCACTCATCGCCCATGTCTGCGGAACGTGTGGTGTCCTTCATGGACCAGGTGAGGATGTTCCAGGACCAAGTGGACAAGCTGACAAGGCTGCAGGTGGACTCTGCTGAGTATAGCTGCCTCAAGGCAATTGCACTCTTCTCACCAGGTGAATGATCTTCAATTTCATAACACAATGTTCAACAGTATGTCCCCAAGGCAATATTTTTTATAATGGTTTACTTTAATCAAGACCATATAAAAGAGCTTGAGAATCTCACAATACCAGCATTAGACTAGTTGATTGCTGGAGTTAGAATTCATATGCATGCATTTATCAGTGCAATGTCTATTTGAGACATAACAGGTTTTACATCTTTGAATGTTGTTTTGTTTTTCGTGAGCAAATTACTGAAGACCTTACATTACCTGGGTAACTCTTAAAAGAGTTGAGCACTAGGTTCAAATAAAACATATATCATACTTATTATGTGGAGCCTACTAATAATGAAATTGGCTATTTTTTCCTAAATTTGCTAAAGTGATCTGTATATTTGAAGCAGGAGCGGCGTTAACCAAACATTTTCTTTCACTCACCGTTTCACCAACATCCGAAGACTATCTGTCATTTTGCCAGATTGCAATTCCCACCAATGACAACTTGGTGGGATGATCTTGTTGGCATTACTTGTAAAAATGTCATGAAATAACATATCTTGATGAAAGAAGTGAAAAAATGAGAAGTTGTCAATCTGAGGAAAAAGTAAAAAACTTCATGACAAAAGCCCTTCAACAATCCCACTTTAGACTTTAGATTTAGATTGGATTATGCACAAGTTGGCATTCAATTCAAGTGTATGTGGACCAGGAGAAAGGTGTGACAACTATGCATTCAGTCTACAGCAGGTGAACAGTTAATATTTAACTCATTTACTTTCATTGTCCATATGTAGCTACTGGATAGGAGTAAGTAGGAGTTATCACTGCAGAGAAAAAAATACATGTATTCAACTGCTTGGTACGGTGCACTGTGAGGATTCCCTGTTTAGTTTTTTAAAACTAAATTTGCATAAAAATAGATTTTATTGAATGTCGTTATCATTTAAAAAGTTAAAAAGGTGTATAAAAATAGAATATGAAGGGCTTTTTATAACCCAGTCAATAATGAGAAATAATGAAAAGGTCTAGGGCAACCTCTGATTTGAAGCATACATTTTTTAAAGAAAATAAATACTTGATTTTTAAGATATGACAATATTTGTCATTGTTTTAATTATTTGCCTTTCTTAATGAGCCCAATACAAATAGCTTCTTAGTGGTAGTTTGTCAACTGTTAAAACGTATCGCTAATGAATATGCAGCAGAATTCCAAAAATGAAAAAGGAATTGAGTAAGTGTAGCTGCACAGGAGATGGCCTGTTACAGCACCATCTTCTGATATATTTATGTAACTGCGCTAATGTAAAAGATGCATATGGTTGCTTTTATCATGCAGCACCGCATATTCTGATTTAGGTGTTTATGAAACATTTTTTTAAAGGAATTCCTTGTATGTTCCACACTTCAGATACTTTTATGTTTCAAGTTTTGACGGATCAAGGTTTGTATTGTCGTGGAGTGTAAGTATGCCGGAGTGCTATATTTGTATGTGCTCCACTCAGTGCTTTTATCTTACAAATTACTGGTATTTCAAGCTTAGTCTCAATTTGTCACGACTCTTTATGTAACCTGCCCACACTATTAAGTAACTTCCTCCTCATTCTCCCTCCCTTTCAGACGCCTGTGGTCTGACAGACCCAGTCCACGTGGAGTCTCTGCAGGAGAAGGCTCAGGTGGCTCTGACGGAGTATGAGAGGATGCAGTACCCCAGCCAGCCGCAGAGATTCGGCCGCCTGCTACTGCGCCTGCCCGCCCTGCGCGCGGTTCCTGCCAGCCTCATCTCCCAGCTCTTTTTCATGCGCCTGGTAGGGAAGACACCCATTGAGACGCTTATCCGCGACATGCAGCTCTCCGGAAGCTCCATCAGCTGGCCGTATGTCCCGGGACAGTAGCTCCATGATGGTCGAGGTCTCCATCTGGGATTAGTGACGATAAAAACCCACAGGAAACCTCCTGACTTATCACTTTCCATCTGTGTGGCTTTTAAACTGCAGTGACAGCTGGCCATTGTGTGTGCTGTACTGTAAATGCTCAATTTCCACTCATGAAACAAGCCTTCAGTGTCCACATGGGCCTTAAAAGAAGAGGTTTGCCCATGCCAAGCTGAGGCGTCTTGTTGCCAGCAGAGTTGTTCTGGTGCCAGGTCCCATGCCAGAAACCAGCTCCTCATGCTGGGCTCCGATATGGCCCCCATAGCTCCTCGTGTTATCACCCACATGCCATAATGACTAGAGATGTAGCGAGCAGGAGCACCATGCACGAATTGCTTCTAGAGGATGAAACTGTCCCATCACTGAAAGCAAATGGAACAATTTTCCCACCCTCCAAACAGGACTGATTTTCCACGGCTAATCATTTGTTTATCAGTGTCCCTTTGAACCATATTACATGATCAATTTTTTTCCAGATGGAACTGGCTGAAAAATCGGAAAGCTCCTGGCTTCGCTCTCGAAGGGAAAGTCCTGAATTTATAGCTCTTCTTCCCTTAAATTGAGGAGGAAACCAAGGAAGAATATTTCTCAGAAAGACCCGAGAAGTAAAACCAAGGAAATTTCACCAAAGTCTACCCTTTCATCCTAAGAGACTTGAAAAGAATAAAGAGATCATAAACCACAAAAGGGGATGAACTGACGTCTGTGACTGAAACATGAAGTGAACAGTGCATTTAAAGTCATTTACAGGGCTCACTGTCACAGTAGTTGAAGAATACCAAGAAGAAAAATAAACTCCATGAGACTGATAACAGACTGATACCTCACTAGACATCAGAATTATTTGGTCTGATATCTCCTCAATACAAACCTCTGTAAGATTAGTTCACCAGAAATAGCCTTCTTTTTGACAACTGCCTTGTTATTCAGTATACATTGTGGGGCATCTATTGATCAGAAATCCTACAAGCATCACAAGCATTTGTCTTTGTATCTTTAAAAAGAAAAAGACCCCTCACTCATCATTTTCAATTGTCTTTTGACATGAGTTTTGACTGTCCAAATATGGTGCACTAAGCACTGCTTGGGATGCTTTTTTATGATGTATAACAGACTCACCAAGTCTAACTTAGGAGGAATAAATTAAGCAGGTGATCTGAATTTATAACCAAAACTACCAGTTAAATACAAGTTTACGTCTGTTAGTACGGTTTCTCTTGAAAATCTATTGAAATGTATGTAAGTATGTATGTTTGTGTGTGTGTGTGTCTGTGTGTGTGTGTGTGTGTGTGTATGTATATACATACATATGTGTGTACACATATATATATATATATATATAAATACCCACACACGTCTGTACAGGAAGATGCTAATTCTGTCTTTTTGCATGTTTAAATGTTGTTTTGAATCTCTTAAGTTTCTTTCATTTTCTTGATGTATTTTGATTTTCATTGAAACATTAAAGTATTACTTTCACTGGTAGCTCCAAAATGTTTTTCTTTTTCTGTGTACTTAAAAATACCTCTGCCATTTGTTTAGATGTCAAGAAATATGCTTTTGCCTTTCAATGATAATGACATAGAGCTTTTCATTTTGCCATCTCAAAGCAAAGCATCTCAAAGCATCCTGCTTTAGTCTGCTGGGATGAATGAAATTCAGTCATATGTTGGTGATTATATGATGGATCAACTGCACTTGAAGGACATTCATTGCCCAAAAAGAAAAATCATTCTGTAAGGGAAGAAGGGCCCTGGTCCACTAGGATTTACCTCACTGTCATTTCAATTGATGGTCTTGACATTTTTTTTTCTTTTTTAAAGAACATAATTATTCCACATGCTTCACATGAAAAATACTATATTTTAATGATGTGACATAGCTCTTTAATCTATAACTGGGCTAAATGTAAGTTATTGAAATGATTTTCTTCTGACCAAAAATTTAATCATTTTGTAAATGGGAAAAAAAGACTTTTCTTATCTTTGTTTTACTGGTTTCTTATGATTCTTAACCATCTGTATGACATGATGTTAGAAGAATATCATTTGTTTTTGTTTTTTTATTCAACCTTGAAAAAAATACTATTTTCATCTGTATGAGGAATGCCAAATAAACACTGTAACATCTAACACTACTGTAAGCGCTTTTATGAGATTAGATTTCAAGTTTTACACAGTTTCTTTATGCGTATTACTTTTGCTTTCTTGAAATTAATTAAAACATCATAATGTACTGATAGTGGTTTCCTAATTTTAACTTTGGAACACGTTCAGATTCAGTTCACTCAGCTTGATTTAAATTGTTAGTTAGGGTGTATCAATTTCTGGCTTTTCCAGTAAAGAAAAATATATATTTTTTTGTGTCTAGGGCAATCCACTGTGCAATTTGAACCTTGAATACCGCTCTTTGTGAAGTTAGTTACTTCCCTGTGGATTTGTAGGTGTTCCAGTTTCTTCCCACACAAAAATACATGCATGTTAGGTTAAATGGCAATTCTCACTTAACCATGTGAGTGCACGTGGGTGGTAGTTTGTTCCCGTGTTGGCCCAGTTTCGGATAAGTGACTTGTTTGAGGGTGTTGATGAAAAATGCATACAACAGCCTGAAAAACGTCTTTGCAGCAGCATGTGGTGTTTTAACATCTTACAGTACTTCTGTGCATTGATGCTGTATTCAGCCATCCATCGTGTCTATTGTGTATTCCTATTAGGGTTGCAGGGGACCTAGATTACATCCAACCTTACCTTGGACAAGTTGCCTGTCCATCACCAGGAACACAGGAAAAAACAACCATGTACACACATTCACTCTCAAAAAGAATTTAGTATAATTAATTTATCCATCCATCCATTATCTATATCGCTTTTTTCTGGTACGGTTGCGGGTTGGCTGGAGCTTATTCCAGCTGACAAAGGGTGAGAGGGAGGGCAAAGCCTGGACAGGTTGCCAGTCTATCGCAGGGCCACACAGACAAACAATTACACACACTCAGATTCACTGCTCATTTAGAGTGTTCGTTTGACCTAAAAGGCACACTTTTGGGTGGTGGAAATTCACAGAGAGAACCCACACAGACACAGGGAGAACATGCAAACACCATGCAGAAAGGCCCCGGTTCCCTGGGGATTCGACCCCGGAACTCTCTTGCTCTGAGGCAACTGTGTTAACTACCACATTTGTCCGTGCAGACATCACAAAAGCACGAATAAGCTTTGAAAGGACTCTTCTTCATACCATCACACACTTTTAGAGTTGCTGTTGATAACACATCTGGTATTTTTCATATTTGCAACAGAACTCGGTGTTGATTTCTAAAAAAGAAAAACCTATACTAACTCCTCTGACCTCTTGGTAATGCCAAGAACAGTACACCAGTCCAACACAGGGCCACCAAAAGATGAATGGGACATATTAGCATTTTCATGTTAGCTCTGTTCTGTAGCCCCAAAGGTACAACATGATGTTAAATACCTGTATATCCAAAATGAGAGCTTCAGAAAGGTTAACGAGTGCTGTGTATAGACTTGTTTCTTTGCACACAGAACCATATATTTTATGTTCTTGCGCCAGGTTTTTGTTTTTCATACATGTGACTGTGACCTGGAAAGTGTCATTTATAGGAATTAATTTAATTTAAGTGTTTTTGGGGGAGAAAAGTGGGAAGACAAGACATATTTTTAGAGAAGTGATAAATGAGGATGCACAGATGTCCCATGTGAGGAAGTCTTTATAAAGGTCGGAATATATAACAAAAGCATGACACACTATTTCAAGTTGTGAACGTAATTTAAAGAAAAATATATATTCGGTCATTAAAATTGCAACTCAAATGACACACATGACAACATACAGCAGGAAGGAGTATATACACGTACTGCATTGTGTTACAATTTATAATTAAACAATTGTTTAAAATAATGACTGAGGTAATTATCTCCAGTTTTAATTAAATATATATTTTCTTCCTTTCTCCTTGTGTCTATTGTAGGATGGGATAAAGCCCTGAGAAATTAGGGAAGGGAGGCAAGAACTGACAAGATGTGTTTGACAAATGATCACCCTACACTAGCAAATACCCTGGTCATAGATTTTCACCAAATGCTTGATGTGGAAAAGTTTTTGCCGAAGTTCCTTGCTCTGCTTCTTCTTTGCTTGGTAGTCTGCCGTCTAAGAAAATAGGCAAGCAGATATAAGACAATACCAGCAGTAATTTTATGATCAAAATAGACATTTTTTGCTCATCCAAATTTGATGAGATAGAAACATCCCCTTAAAATGACTTTACTTTAATACTTGAGAAACTACTTAAGAAGCAGGGTACCCTTAGCTTTGAATAAAGTCTGGATACAGAGAAAAGAGTGTTCAGACATCTTTAATAAAATCATTCTTCCCTGACAAATATGTTAGTCTGAAAATATCAAACTATTGCATTTAAGTAATTTCATGACATGATAGAGCATATCATACTCACCCTTTTGAGATCTTTCAGTCGGTTGTACTCATCTGCCACACCCTGAAAATAGAAATACAAATGCTCGCATTGTTTTTTACGAACTGTGTGTAACAGACAACATAAGTAAATACCGTAATAAAAAATGTCAAATTGTTGTCAATACTAAATGGGAAAATAACAATTTATCTACACCTGTTTTTTTGTTTGTTTCTTTGTTTTTTCTACCTGGTATTTTGTAGAGCTTTCATCCAAGGCATCCATGTCTCGGCTCAACTTGTGCATCTGATCACTGATGTCATCCATTTCAGAGCAGAGGGTCTTATAGAGGGTCAGATCAGAATCAAACTCCTTCTTGTATTTGTGGCGCTGCTCATCAGAAGTTATCACCGGGTACTGTCTGAGAGAAAGAAATTAATATATATTATTAATATATTCATATAAAAAAATGTTGAAAAAAACATTTGAACCTACAAATGATACGGAAATAATGTTATCACAGTAAGTGCATGTACAGTACATTTACAGTGAAAAATAATATGAAAACTGTCTAATTTCTTATGATTTATGCCTCATTTGTGAAGGTTAAGATAGATATTAACTAGTCAGAAGTTTACTTTTTTTATTATCTCAGAACCATTCAAAGAATTTCTGCAAGTTTATTTAGGAATTTAGGACGAACAGATTTGTTAAATTGAATTTTCTGCCTTGATTTTAAAGGTTTTTCTCTGTTCATTTACTTGTTTTCAAGCTTTGCATGTTTTATTTCGATTTGCTATTTGAAAGCTCATATATGATTTCCTAGTTCAAGATTTAGCTTTTCCAGCCATCCATTTTCTATTCTCACTTTTTCCATTTCAGGGTCGCAAGGGGGTGCGTACCCAATCCCAACGGTCAAGAGGCTAGAGACAGGAAACACACTGGCAAGTTCAGGTTTGCTTTCTCAACTAAATATTTTCCCACATGAATTCCCTTTCACACATCAGCAGTAAACTGACCCACCTGTAGAGATAATCAGTTTGGTCCCGGACCAGCTCGTTGCCCGTGTCTCTTGTAGTGTAACTAGTTTCACATTGAGACTCAACCATCACCTGAGCAGCAGGAAGACATTCAGCGCCCTTCTTCCATTCCTTTTTGCTGTTATGAGGATGAGATTTCCTGACAACATCAGCGTCATCTGAGCTTCTGGAACAAACAGCATCCCCGCTGTTCTGGTGCAGAGGCTCAGCAACACAACTGATGCTGTTGTCTGTACAGAAACTTTGGAAAATTCCAAATTGAAGAGGGTACAATCAGAAAGTTTTGTTATTACTATAGTAGAGCAACAGCCAGACATTCATGTGTTGTCTTGAAGGATGTGAAGATTCAGGATTGACTTCTCTTATATTCCTGTTTTTTCAGCTCAGACTATTCTGATATGTTTTTGTGTTTGCTTACCTGTTGCTTTTGTAACATCCATCACTATGGATACTGACTGTACCATTGCTGTGGGAGAGCAAACTGTCCTTTGCCCTCATGTCAGGTGCTGGTCTTTCTGACACAACAGTTGGTGCAGTTGGTACATGTTGCTGTATAGAAACAAAAAAAAAAACAATATCAGAAGACTCTACCTTGACTACAACTTCCTAATACAATCTCATGGTTTACAGTCTCAGATTTTCTGCACAGAAAAATTAATCTTTAAGTATAATATATTTGAAATGTGTCTCCATTTATATAGAAAACAAGGAATAACTTCAAATGATGGGGTTTTGTATCCTTCACTATTGTAGAATATGATGACATATTCAGTAACACAATATAAAGAGCAGTCAAGCATACCTTTCAATGCAAAGCTTCATACATAAAAAACAAAACTAACTAAGTTTTACTTGTGGTAAGAATTCCAAAGACACCCAAAGGTACCCAAAGTGTCTTATTTTACACTGTACACAGTTACCTAATTTTGCTTTAATGACAGCTTTGCAAAGTCTTTGTTCAATTTTTGTTGAGATGGAATGGATGGATGGATGGATGGATGGATGGATGGATGGATGGATGGATG